TGTCCCTGTCCCTGTCCCTGTCCCTGTCCCGCAGGAGGTTCTACAAGGACATGCCCCAGAACGCGCTGGACAAGAAATCCAACTTCGAGTTCCTGGAGTGAGTGCAGCCCGGGCCCAGCCCGTCCTGGGGGCTGGGGACTGCTGGGGCCTTCCTCGTCATCTTCATCTTCATCATCCTCCTCACCTTCATCATGCTCCTCACCTTCATCATCCTCCTCATGCTCCTCATCCTCATCATCTTCATCATCCTCCTCATCCTCCTCATCTCCTCATCCTCCTCATCCTCCTCATCATCCTCATCCTCCCTCATGTCCTCATCCTCTATCATCATCCTCATCCTCATCATCCTCCTCATCCTCCTCATCGCCATCAACTGTGTGCCCTTCCTCACCCACGGGCACCACGGTGAGCCTTCAGCTTCATCATCCTCATCCTCACCTTCCTCATCATCCTCATCATCATCCTCATCCTCATCATCCCTCCTCATCTCCTCATCCTCCTCATCTCCTCATCCTCCTCATCCTCCTAATCCTCCTCATCCTCCTCATCCTCCTCATCCTCCCTCATCTCCTCATCTCCTCATCCTCCTCATCTCCTCATCCTCCTCATCCTCCTAATCCTCCTCATCCTCCTCATCCTCCTCATCCTCCGTCATCTCCTCATCTCCTCATCCCTCCGGAATTCCCCCGTCCCGTCCTGCCTGGGGTGGGAATTCCCGCTGACATTCCCGGGATTCTCTGCTCCTCCGCAGGAAGGAGGTGGGGCTGGACCTCTTCTTCCCCAGCCAGATGCAGGAGAACCTGAAGGTGAGGGGCACCTGGGCTCCGGAATTCCCCCGTCCCGTCCTGCCTGGGGTGGGAATTCCCGCTGACATTCCCGGGATTCTCTGCTCCTCCGCAGGAAGGAGGTGGGGCTGGACCTCTTCTTCCCCAGCCAGATGCAGGAGAACCTGAAGGTGAGGGGCACCTGGGTGTGGCACAGGCGTGGCACCTGGGGACACGTGTCACCACGCCCCTGCGTGTGTCCGTGTGTCCCTGTGTGTGTCCGTCGGGATATGGGATACGGGATTCAGGAATGGGGGATACGGAATTTGGGATGGGGGATACGGGATACGGGATACGGGAATGGGGGATACGGGATATGGGATAGGGGATTTGGGATATGGGATGTGGGACATAGGATAGGGGATATGGGATACGGGATTCGGGAATGGGGGATGTGGGATACGGGATATGGGATATGGGATTCAGGATGGGGATATGGGATTTGGGATGGGGGATGTGGGATACGGGATACGGGAATGTGGGATACGAGATTCGGGATAGGGGATATGGGATTCGGGATAAGGGATACGGGATTTGGGATGGGGGATGTGGGATACGGGATACGGGAATGTGGAATACGAGATTCAGGATAGGGGATATGGGATTTGGGATCGGGGATGTGGGACATGGGATATGGGATATGGAATTTGGGATGGGGATACGGGGTTTGGGATGGAAGATGTGGGATACGGGATATGGGATATGGGATTCGGGATGGGGGTATGGGTTTCAGGAATGGGGGATACGGGATTTGGGATGGGGATACGGGATTTGGGATGGGGGATGGGGGATGGGGGATGTGGGATACAGGATATGGGATATGGGATGGGGGCACGGGATACGGGATTCGGGAATGGGGGATACGGGATTTGGGATGGGGATACAGGATTTGGGATGGGGGATAGGGGATACAAGATATGGGATGGGGGATACAGGATTCGGGATACGGGAATGGGGGATATGGGATTTGGGATGGGGGATGTGGGATACGGGATACGGGAATGTTGGATACGAGATTCGGGATAGGGGATATGGGATTCGGGATAAGGGATATGGGATTTGGGATGGGGGATGTGGGATACGGGATGCGGGATGCGGGAATGTGGAATACGAGATTTGGGATATGGGATATGGGATAAGGGATAGGGGATAGGGGATGGGGGCACGGGATACGGGATGCGGGAATGGGGGATACGGGATATGGGATAGGGGATTTGGGATATGGGATGTGGGATGTGGGACATGGGATAGGGGATATGGTATACGGGATTTGGGAATGGGGGATGTGGGATACGGGATATGGGAATGGGGGATACGGGATTCGGGATGGGGGATGTGTGACAGGGGATGTGGGATATGGGATAGGGGATATGGGATAGGGGATATGGGATATGGGATGTGGGATGTGGGATAGGGAAAATGGGATATGGGATGTGGGATAGGGGATTCAGGATGCCGGATACAGGATATGAGATACGGGATAGGGAATGTGAGATTGGGGACATGGGATATGCAGCATGGGATGTGGAATACAAGGTATGGGATATGGGATACAGAATATGGGATATAGGATGAGGTGGGGTGGAGTTAGGTGGGAATGGGATGGGATGGGATGGGATGGGATGGGATGGGATGGGATGGGATGGGATTTTATGGAGATGGGATGGGATCTGATGGGATTTTATGGAGATGGGATGGGATCTGGCCCTTGGCACGCCCCTCATCCCAAATCCCCTGCTGCCCCCAGCAAGGATGGAACATCACCGTGGACCTGGTCATCGGCCCCAAGGGCATCCGCCAGGTGACCAGCAAGGACACCAAGGTGGGAATTCCGGGCCGGGAGCTGGGAACTCCCACTTCGGGCTGGGATCGAATTCCCGATGAATTCCCCCTTCCCAGCCCACCTGCCTGGCGGAATTCCGGGACATCAAATCCATCCGGTGCTCCGCAGCGGAGGACGGCCAGGCTCTGCTGCAGCTGGGGCTCAGCGGGACCCCCCAGGTGAGGAGCTGGGAGAGCATTCCCGGGAATGCCATGTCCCACATCCCATATCCCAAAGCCCATATCCCCTATCCTCTATCCCCTATGCCATATCCCATATCCCATTTTCCCTATCCCATATCCCTCATCCCCTATCCCATATCCCATATCCCATATCCCACATCCCCTATCCATATCCCATATCCCATTTTCCCTATCCCACATCCCATATCCCCTATCCCATATCCCCTGTCCCATATCCCACATCCCATATCCCATATCCCCTATCCCACATCCCCTATCCATATCCCATAACTCATATCCCATATCCCATATCCCATTTTCCCTATCCCATATCCCATATCCCACATCCCGCTATCCCATATCCCATATCCCCTATCCCATATCCCATATCCCAAATCCCCTATCCCAAATCCCATATCCCCTATCCCCTATTCCATATCCACTATCCCAAATCCCCTATCCCAAATCCCATATCCCCTATCTGCTATCCCATATCCCCTATCCCATATCCCATATCCCAAATCCCCTATCCCAAATCCCATATCCCCTATCCCCTATTCCATATCCCAAATCCCATATCCCCTATCCCCTATCCCATATCCCCTATCCCATATCCCCTATCCCATATCCCCTATCCCATATCCCAAATCCCCTATCCCAAATACCCTATCCCACATCCCACATCCCATATCCCATTTTCCCTATCCCATATCCCATACCCCACATCCATATCCCATTTTCCCTCTCCCACATCCCATATCCCTGTCCCCGCCTCTTCCCGGGAGCACTTTGGCGTTGTCCCGGCTGTGTCGGAATTCTGGGAAGGGCGGTTATGGGGCGCTGGGATGGCGGGTGGAGCGGGCAGAGAGGGCCGACCCCGATCCCATCCCGCATCCCGGCATTCCCAAGTCGCTGGCCATCAAGACGTCGTCGCTGGCCGAGGCGGAGAACATGGCCGACCTCATCGACGGATACTGCCGGCTGCAGGGCGGCTCCGAGGAGTCGCTGATCGCCTTCCCCGGGAAAGGTGGGAATGCCGCCGGTGGGGTGGGGTGGGGTGGGATTGGGATCCATGGGGTGGGATGGGATCAGTGGGATGGGATCAGTGGGATGGGGTAGGATGGGATAATGGGACCCATGGGATGGGATGGATGGGATGGATGGATGGATGGATGGATGGATGGATGGATGGATGGATTGGATGGATGGATGGATGATGGATGGATGGATGGATGGGATGGGATGGGATGGGATGGGATGGATGGATGGGATGGATGGATGGATGGGATGGGATCAATGGGATGGGATGGGATGGGATGGGATGGGATGGGATGGGATGGATGGGATGGGATGGCAGTTGGATTGGGTTGGGATGGGATGGGATGGGACCATTCCCCGTCCTCCCTGCAGATCGCGAGAAGAGGATCAGCCTCCCACAGATCCCGGCCCCGTGAGTGATCCCGATCCTTTTCCCGGGATTCCCGTCCCCGGCGCGGGGTTGGGATCCCGCTCCCTGACCCTCTTCCCACCCTCAGGAATCTCGGGGAGAGGCATTCCACGCTCTCCCACAGCGTCAGCGGCGGTGAGTTCGGCCTCGTCCCTCTTCCCACCATCCCGGGGGCGCGGGCAGGGATTTGGGACACATTCCATGCGGGATTCGGGAATGCTGGACGCTCCCAGCTCCTCTCCAGAGGGTTGGGATGCATCCAAGCTTCCTGGAGGAGCGCCAGACCCTCTGGAACTATTGGAAGATCTCCCACAACCACCGAGCTTCCTGATCCCCTTCCCGCATCCCGTTTTCCCCCAGATTCCGAAATTTACGCGGAAATCCTGGATGAATCCTCAAGGCCGAGATCCGGAAGTAGGTGCTTCCCGTGGGAATTCTCCAGCTGGGGTGTCCCAGATCCTCCTTGCCCATCCCAAATTCCCGTCCCAGCCTCACCAAAGCTCCGAGAAGGTCCCGGAAGAGCTGGGATGAGGCGTGGGGCAGGATCCATGGATCCTTGGGAGGATGGAGAGGGCAGGATCCATGGAAAATCATGGATGGAGAGGGCAGGATACATGGAAAATCATGGGTGGAGAGGGCAGGATCCATGGAAAATCATGGATGGAGAGGGCAGGATCCATGGATCCATGAGGGAATTTTGGAGAGGGCAGGATCCATGGAAAATCTTGGATGGAGAGGGCAGGATCCATGGATCATTGTGGGAATGTTGGAGAGAGCAGGATCCATGGATCCTCATGGATGGAAAAAGCAGGATCCATGTGGGAATTGTGGAGAGGGCAGGATCCATGGATCCATGAGGGAATTTTGGAGAGGGCAGGATCCATGGAAAATCTTGGATGGAGAGGGCAGGATCCGTGGATCATTGTGGGAATGATGGAGAGAGCAGGATCCATGGATCCTCACAGATCCTCAGGGATGCTCATGGATGGAGAGGGCAGGATCCATGGATCCTCATGGATCCTCACGGATGGGGATGGGAGGATCCATGGATCCTCATGGATGGAGATGGGAGGATCCATGGATCCTCAGGGATCCTCACGGGCGGGGTGGCTCGGTAGCCACGGGCATCCCCCGGTTATTCCGGGCGGACCTTCCCTTGGAACCACCCGCGGTCACGGAATCTCCTCCCCCCTTCCCGCCCCCCCCCCCCCCAAACCGGGAGAAATTCCTCAGCGAAGCCGGTATCCCCGGGCTCCTCGTGGGGTTTTTCGGGATCTTGAGGATCCTTTTGGGATATTTTTTGGGATCTTGAGGCTCCTGACAGAGTTTTTTGGGATGCTGAGGGTCCTTTTGGGTTTTTTTGGGATCTTGAGGTTCCTTTTGGGTGTTTTTTGAGGATCTTGAGGTTCCTTTTGGGGTGTTTTTTGGAATCTTGAGGCTCCTTTTGGGGTTTTTTGGGATCTTGAGGTTCCTGCTAGGGTTTTTTTTTGGGATCTTGAGGCTCCTGCCAGGGTTTTTTTAGGGATGCTGAGGGTCCTGTTGGGTTTTTTGGGATCTTGAAGTTCCTTTTGGGGTGTTTTTTGGAATCTTGAGGCTCCTTTTGGGGTTTTTTGGGATCTTGAGGTTCCTGCTAGGGTTTTTTGGGATCCTGAGGTTCCTTTTGGGTTTTTTTTGGGATCCTGAGGTTCCTGCTGGGTTTTTTTGAGATCTTGAGGCTCCTTTTGGGTTTTTTTGTGATCTTGAGGTTCCTGCCAGGGTTTTTTGGGATCCTGAGGCTCCTGCTGGGTTTTTTTTGGGATGCTGAGGTTCCTGCCAGAGTTTTTTGGGATGCTGAGCCTCCTTTTGGGGTTTTTTGGAATCTTGAGGTTCCTGCTAGGGTTTTTTGGGATCTTGAGGCTCCTTTTGGGGTTTTTTGGAATCTTGAGGTTCCTGCCAGAGTTTTTTGGGATCCTGAAGTTCCTTTTGGGGTGTTTTTTGGAATCTTGAGGTTCCTGCTGGGTTTTTTTGAGATCTTGAGGCTCCTTTTGGGTTTTTTTGTGATCTTGAGGTTCCTGCCAGGGTTTTTTGGGATGCTGAGGCTCCTTTTGGGTTTTTTTGGGATTCTGAAGTTCCTGCTGGGGTTTTTTTTGGGATCTTGAGGTTCCTGCCAGGGTTTTTTGGGATGCTGAGGGTCCTTTTGGGTTTTTTTGGGATCTTGAGGTTCCTTTTGGGGTTTTTTGGGATCTTGAGGTTCCTTTTGGGGTGTTTTTTGGAATCTTGAGGCTCCTTTTGGGGTTTTTTGGGATCTTGAGGTTCCTGCTAGGGTTTTTTGGGATCCTGAGGCTCCTTTTGGGTTTTTTTTTGGGATTCTGAAGGTCCTGCTGGGTTTTTTTTGGGATCTTGAGGTTCCTGCTGGGTTTTTTTTGGGATGCTGAGGTTCCTTTTGGGTTTTTTCGGATCTTGAGGTTCCTTTTGGGGTGTTTTTTGGAATCTTGAGGTTCCTGCCAGAGTTTTTTTAGGATCCTGAGGCTCCTTTTGGGGTTTTTTGGGATTCTGAAGGTCCTGCTGGGGTTTTTTTTAGGATCCTGAGGCTCCTTTTGGGGTTTTTTGGGATCTTGATGGTTCTGCTGAGGATTTTTGGGATCCTGAGGCTCCTTTTGGGTTTTTTGGGGATTCTGAGGGTCCTGCCATCATTTTTTTGCGTTTCCAAGGCTTCTGATGGTGTTTTTTTGGGATCTTGAGGGTCCTGCCATGTTTTTTTTTGGATCTCGGGGCTCCTGATGGGGGTTTTTGGGATCTCAAGGGTCCTGCCATGGTTTTTTGGGATCTCAAGGGTCCTGCCAGGTTTTTTTGGGATCTCAAGGGTCCTGCCATGGTTTTTTGGGATCCTGAGGGTCCTGCCAGGTTTTTTTGGGATCTCAAGGGTCCTGCCATGGTTTTTTGGGATCCTGAGGGTCCTGCCAGGTTTTTTTGGGATCTCGAGGGTTCTGCTGGGGTTTTTTGGGATCCTGAGGATCCTGCTGGGATTTTTTGGGATCCTGAAGAAACAAGGAGCCCTTGGAACTCAGGATGGAGGAAGAAGGAGTTGATCCATGCCCGGAAACCCGGGATAGGATCCCAAAAATCCCCGGATTACGGGAAGTGTTTATTGGAGGTGGGGAATCTGCTGGAATCCCGAGGATGCCGATCCCTAAAAAAAACCCACCGGGACCTCCAATCCCTTCGGGAAATCCGGGACAATTCCTCCTGCTCCCGCCTCCGGGGGTCGGGATTCCCCCGGAATGTTGTTGTGGGGGTGGGAATCCTGCATCCCAAGGCGGGAATTCCACCACCCCCGCAGTGCTGATGAAGAAGCTGGACCACCCGCACATCGTGAAGCTCATCGGCATCGCCGAGGAGGAGCCCACCTGGATCATCATGGAGCTCTATCCCTACGGAGAGGTGCGACCCCCGCCCTTCCCCGGCCCCGTTTCCCGGCCCCGTTCCCGGCGTTCCCGCGGCTGATCCCGGCGGGAACGCCGGCGTTTGCAGCTGGGCCAGTACCTGGAGCAGAACCGGCTGGGCCTGGCCGTGCCCACCCTGGTGCTGTACGCGCTGCAGGTCAGCAAGGCCCTGGCCTACCTGGAGGCCATCAACTGCGTCCACAGGTGACTCGGGATGGGGCCGGAGACCCCTGGAATTCCGGGATGGGCGGGGGGAGGGGGTTTTGGGATTCTGAAGGTCCTGCTGGGGTTTTTTTTTAGGATCCTGAGGCTCCTTTTGGGGTTTTTTGGGATTCTGAAGGTCCTGCTGGGGTTTTTTTTTAGGATCCTGAGGCTCCTTTTGGGGTTTTTTGGGATCTTGATGGTTCTGCTGAGGATTTTTGGGATCCTGAGGCTCCTTTTGGGTTTTTTGGGAATTCTGAGGGTCCTGCCATAATTTTTTTGGGTTTCCAAGGCTTCTGGTGGTGTTTTTTTTGGGATCTTGAGGGTCCTGCCATGTTTTTTTTTGGATCTCGGGGCTCCTGATGGGGGTTTTTGGGATCTCAAGGGTCCTGCCATGTTTTTTTGGGATCTCAAGGGTCCTGCCAGGTTTTTTTGGGATCTCAAGGGTCCTGCCATGGTTTTTTGGGATCCTGAGGGTCCTGCCAGGTTTTTTTGGGATCTCGAGGGTTCTGCTGGGGTTTTTTGGGATCCTGAGGATCCTGCTGGGATTTTTTGGGATCCTGAAGAAACAAGGAGCCCTTGGAACTCAGGATGGAGGAAGAAGGAGTTGATCCATGCCCGGAAACCCGGGATAGGATCCCAAAAATCCCCGGATTACGGGAAGTGTTTATTGGAGGTGGGGAATCTGCTGGAATCCCGAGGATGCCGATCCCTAAAAAAAACCCACCGGGACCTCCAATCCCTTCGGGAAATCCGGGACAATTCCTCCTGCTCCCGCCTCCGGGGGTCGGGATTCCCCCGGAATGTTGTTGTGGGGGTGGGAATCCTGCATCCCAAGGCGGGAATTCCACCACCCCCGCAGTGCTGATGAAGAAGCTGGACCACCCGCACATCGTGAAGCTCATCGGCATCGCCGAGGAGGAGCCCACCTGGATCATCATGGAGCTCTATCCCTACGGAGAGGTGCGACCCCCGCCCTTCCCCGGCCCCGTTTCCCGGCCCCGTTCCCGGCGTTCCCGCGGCTGATCCCGGCGGGAACGCCGGCGTTTGCAGCTGGGCCAGTACCTGGAGCAGAACCGGCTGGGCCTGGCCGTGCCCACCCTGGTGCTGTACGCGCTGCAGGTCAGCAAGGCCCTGGCCTACCTGGAGGCCATCAACTGCGTCCACAGGTGACTCGGGATGGGGCCGGAGACCCCTGGAATTCCGGGATGGGCGGGGGGAGGGGG